TGCCCCGCCCACCCACAGGCTCCTCCCCCTGCTGCCCCACCCCCACCGGCGGGGCCCATCACTCACTGTCGGTGCAGCTGACCCCGGCAGAGAAGCGCCCGCCGCCCGCCGGGCAGTGCACGGGGCCGTGGCGCTGGCATTGCTGGATGCTGAGCTCGGTGCCCGTGCAGTGCACGCCGCTCATCACCACCTCGCCCGCCTCTGGGCTGCCCTGCCAGTACCAGGTCTCCTGGGGGGAGAGAGAGACGCCCCAGTGCTCAGCGGGGACACGAGAGCCCAGGGCCAGGCCCCCCATCCTGCCCCTCGGCGCCAGGGCCCCCCCATCCCCTCCCTTGATGCCAGGCCCCCCCATCCCGCCCCTCAGCGTCAGGGCACAAGGCCCCTCTCCTCCCCCCCCAGCAACATCCCCTGACACAAGGGCACAGGACCCCCCCCCCCATGTGTCACCCCCCCAGCCAGGGCACAAGCCCCCCCCGTGGGACTCACCTGGAGGGCGTGGCTGGCGAAGCCCAGCCCCAGCTGCCTGCAGACCACCATGGCCTCGTTCAGCCCCCACCGTTCGCCGCACACGGCGCCCCACTTCAGGGCACCCCCCACCGGCACCAACACTTCCACCACACCCTCCTCGGGGCTGCGGCCCCCCGCCAGGCGCACCTGGGCAGAGCAGGGGTTAGCTGCCAGCTCCCCAGATCCTTAGCTGGGAGATGCTCCTCCCCCCGCCCGGCGACAGCCACTGACTCCCAGCCCAGCTAGGGGCACCTGGGGACCCCCGTGCCAGCTGCCCACCCCACCCCCTATGTCCTCCGTGCCACTCGCAGCCTCCTTCAGCCTGTGGCATCCTCCCCATGGTGCCCTGTGCCACCCTCTCCTCCTGCAGCGCCCCCTGTGCCCACTCCCCCAGGCCCCCCAGCACCCAGGCCCCCCAAGCACCCCACGGCACCCACTCCCCAAGACCTCCCAGCACCCCCCAGGGTCCCCTCTCCCAGGTCTTCCTGCCCCACTGTACCCCATGGCACCTACCCACCCCAGGCTACCCGCTCCTCCATGATGCCCCACACCCTGCCCCCCAGCATGGCTGACAGCCCCCAAGGGCCGCGGGGGGGCTCACCTGGCTCTGATAGTCCGTGTGGGGCACGTTGCACCGGACGGCAGCGTCGGCCTCATGCCGGCAGCCGCTCTGCGCTGCCTCCTGGAAGCTGCACTCCTGGAGCGAGCGCTCGTAGCCTGTGCACTGAACCTGGGACATGTGGATGGGGCCCAGGCCTGGAGCCAGAGGCCAGCGGCTCAGCCTGACTCGCCCCTGGGTAGCACTGAGCTCGCCCAGCCCGCCCAGCCCTGCAGGGACCCCTCCCTCGCCCCCGGCTGCTCCAGTGCAGCCCTGCCCGAGGGGCTCCCTGCACAGGGCCCGTTAGACCCTCCAGCCCGTCCTGCAGGGCACCAGCCAGAGCCCCCCAGCCCGAGAGGCCTCAGGGGCTGA